TGCTTTCTAATAGGAGATTTTCCTTAAAAAGTCCCTTTTCTCGGCCAGGATGGCTGATCTCTTAGATAGGGCTTTAAACTAAGATCGCAAGGGGATGGGGAAATGCTAACTGGAGCCTACCCAGGGACCAATGTACAGGAAAGCTCCATTGACAATGAAACCAAGCAAGCCACTCTTACAGAAACTGAGAAAACAGCTCCCCTTCAACGCAATAGGTGGCCAGTGACCTCACTAGAAGGACTTGAGTGCCTGTATACCAATGCTAGAAGTATGGGGAACAAGCAGGAAGAACCAGTCCTCCTGCTTTCCACTGGGCACTGTGATCTAGTAGGGATCACAGAGACCTGGTGGGACTCCTCTCATGACGAGTATAGCCATAAAGGGCTACATCCTTCACAGAAGAGATTGGGTAGGGAAGAGAGGTGGGGGTGTTGCCCTCTATGTAAAGGAGCCATACACCTCTCTACAGGCCGATGTTGGGCCCCAAAGAAGAAAAGCTTGAAATCCTCTGGGTCAAGCTCCAGGGGAGGTGCAGCAAGAGAGACCTGACTGTATACTACAGGCTGCCTATAGAGTGTATATTACAGGCCGCCTAACCAAAGGGAGGAACTTGATCTAGCATTCGCCCATAAACTAATGGAGGCCATGCGTGCACGGGACATGGTTGTCATGAGTGACTTCAACTACCTAGACATCTCCTGGCAGGAGTGCTCGGCCAGCTCAGATCAATCATGACCCTTCCTGACCAGCACTGAAGAGCTATTTTTGACTCGGGAGGTACACAGGCCAACTAGAGGCAATGCAGTTCTTGACCTGGTCCTGGCCAAAGGGGATGACCTGGTGACCAACTTAAATATAGAGGGCAGCCTAGGCGATGGTGACCATGAGATCATTATGTTCACGGTCCATCGCAAGGCTGACAAAACAGACACCAAGCTTGAAGTCTAAGACTTCAAAAATGCAAATTTTAATAAGCTCAGGTCACTAGTAGAGAATGCCCTGAGAGACCAAGGACCACAGGTAAAGGGAGCACGAGAAGAATGGTCATTCCTTAAGGATACAATACTTAAGGCTAAGATAAAATCCATTCCCTTATGGAGAAAAAGTAGTAGAAGGGTCAAAAAACCCTCTTGGTTAAGCAGGGAAGCTGCAGTCCTCCTACAGAAAAAGGAGGCATACAAACAATGGAAGCTTGGGTAAGTCTCTGAGGAAGACTACTTGACAATGGCCCGCACTTGTAGAAAACAGATTAGGCAAGCTAAGGCAGAAACCGAGCTAAAACTAGCTATAAGTATCAAGGACAACAAGAAGTCCTCCTTTAGCTACATAGAGAGTAAAAGGAAAACTAATGGGAGTGTAAGGCTGCTGCTCAATGCCTCAGGATACCTGGTCACTACCACTCGGGGGAAAAAACGGAACTCCTAAATGACTACTTTGCCTCAGTCTTTCACAAGACCAAGGGAAACAACATGCCAGGTAGCGCACAGAACAAGCAGGGCGGGATTGACACCGTTGCCATCACCGCCATAGAACTGGTGTATGATCAATTAAAGAAATTAGACATATATAAATCAGCAGGACCGGATGAACTCCACCCAGGAGTGCTGCAAGAGTTGGCCGAAGTAATTGCAAAGGTCTTTCAAAAATCATGGGCCTCTGGAGAAATCCCAGAGGACTGGAAGATGGCCAGTGTTGTGCCCATCTTCAAGAAGGGGAAGCGTGAAGACCTGGGAAACTACAGGCCAATTAGCTTAACTTCTATTCCAGGGAAAATCCTAGAAACATTCATCAAAGAGGCTATTTGTTACAAACTTGCAGAAGGCATGATACCGAATGACAGCCATCATGGCTTCATCGCGGGCAGGTCTTGTCTGACCAACCTAATTTCTTTCTATGATCAGGTGACTCGTTACCTGGATGAGAGAAAAGCGGTTGACATCATATACCTCGACTTCCAGAAAGCCTTTGACCTGGTATCCCATGAGGTACTGATCAGAAAACTGGTAGATATTGGGCTCAACTGCAGGACTGTCAAGTGGGTGCGAAACTGGTTGCAGGGTAGGACACAGGGAGTCCAAATGAATGGATCGGACTTGTCCTGGCGAGATGTGGGCAGTGGCGTACCCCAGGGGTCAGTACTTGGCCCAGTGCTGTTCAATATCTTCATCAACGACCTCAGTGAGGGGGTGAAAAGCCCATTGGCCAAGTTCGTGGACGACACCAAGATATGGGGTTGTGTGGATACACCCACAGATAGGCTGCAGATACAAACAGACCTAGACAGGCTGGCATGTTGGACAGAACAGAACCAGATGAGGTTCAGCATAGAGAAATGCCAAGTGCTGCATCTGGGAAGGAAGAACCCCCAGCACACCTACAGGCTGGGCATCGCTAACTTGACCAGCATGACAAATGAAAGGGACCTGGGGGCAACGATAAACCCTAGCATGAATATGAGCTGGCAATGCGATTCAGTAGCCGCTAGGGCCGATAAAACTCTGGCATGCATCAATCAATGCATCTTCAGTAAATCCAAAGAAGTGATTCTGCCGCTTTACTCAACATTGGTGCGGCTGCAGCTGGAGTATTGCGTCCAGTTCTGGGTGCCACACTTCAACAAGGACATGCTAAAGCTCGAGAGGGTCCAGAGAAGGGCCACCCACATGATCAGGGATTTGCATGGCAAGCCATGTGAGGAGAGGCTGAGGGATCGCAAACTCTTCAGCCTAAAAAAAAGAAGGCTGAGAGGGGACCTGATTGCGGCTTACCGCTATATCAGAGGCGTACATCAGGGGCTCGATGAACAACTGTTCACCAGGGCGCCCTGAGGGAAAACTAGAAACAACAGCCAAAAACTCCTGGAATATAGTTTCAGACTGAACGTTAGGAAAAACTTCTTTACTAGAGTATCCACACTATGGAACATGCTCCCCCCAGAGGTGGTGCAATCATCTACCCTAGAGGTCTTCAAGACAAGACTGGACGGTCACCTGGCTGTGGTTGTCTGACCTCAGATGTCTTTCCTGTTCATGCAGGGGGCTGGACCCGATGATCCTTTGAGGTCTCTTCCAGCCCTGATTCTGTGATTATAAATTGTTTGCTTTTTTCCTTCCAGTGGGACTTAAGTGCTAGCAGAGGGAAAAAAATATTTCAACCTGTAAGTCAGTAATTCAGAAAGGTGTGTACTGTTTGAAAAATTAGTTATACCCCTTGCATTTTGGCTTCTGCTTATTATTACATGCCTTTCACTTTCTCTCACCTGATCCTTTAAAACAAAACAAACTCTACTGGTGGCATCAACCTGGTCTGGTCAATCTTGATCCTTTTGCCAACATAGAAAGAAGAATATTTTCAAACACATCTTATGCTTGGTTGGTTCCCGCTTGGATCAATATTGCTGTGCTCTGCTTTTTTCCATTGAATTTGGTCTCAGTTTTATGCAATAAAATAAGGCAAAACATACTTATGAAAATCCTTTAGTCAGAAAAAGGACACTGTAAAAAGAAGGAAAAACTAAAGTTGAATGGCTGATAAAGAAGAAAGGGAGCACTAGTCCTAAGGCCATAAGTTAAGAAGAGAGGGGAAGAAGAGAAATAATATTTTCTCCTGGAAACTACAATTTGCACTCTCCTAAATGTAAATGATAATTTAGAAAAAAAAATCAGCTTGGAGTACATAGTAAATGATGTTGCCAGGATACTTCCTGATCATGTTAATTAAACTGTCCTGTAGATTTCACTTAATTACTGCATAATTTGCATATTGGACATAATGGTGTTCATTGTTAAAGGAAGCTTTTCTGCTAAAAGGATGCGCACACATTCACTTTCAGGGGAGGGGGAAGTGTTCAGCAGCAAAAAAGAAAGTTTTCTTTCTATATAATTATGATATTTGATTAGCAAACTGGTACATCTCTAATGCCCCTCAGTAAGATGGTATGTTATGTGCGCTCCAGGTTCTTTAACAAACTATCACTGAGGCCTGATTGAATTAGCTTTTCTCTTATTGAACAGTACCTGATTTTGAGATGCTCATTGCTTTCAGTGGTTCCCACTCATGGAGTAAAGTCTAATCAACCTGATGAGCTTTTGAATAGGGTAGCATATTCTATTCTGTGATGAGCTTGCTCTTTACAGATCCCCCAGATCACTCGGAAGAGTCCCAACAGTAAGCAGTCTGTCCAGGGTTGTTGATATGCTACTCATTTGGGGCTCTCTTCTCTGGGATTTGCTCCTACTGTACCTCTAGATCAGTTTTCCCTTCTGCCTGATGTATCAGGGTGGGAGCAGAGCAAAGACCTGAAGAAAACATGTTCTTTAAAAAATGCCTGGATGCTTCAGTTGGAGGAATCTAATGCCTGAGTGCAGGGGACCCATGCAGTGACATTTGGGGGGAGAGAGTGAGAACCACCCATTGGACAGGGCACATCCTCTTACAGAGGAAGAAGAAAAGAGCTGAGAAAAAGCCAAGGAGGAGGAGAACATGAGGAAAGGAGCAATAGGGAAGCAAAACAGAGAAGCATTCAGAGCTGTTGTGGGAGGAAACAGGTTGAGGAACGTGGGAAATAAATGGCAGTCAAGATTGTTTTTGTTTAATGTTGCATCATATAATAATTCCTATAGATTATATTCTTCCCATCCCTAATGCCTGCTTCACAACTGTCTCGCTCCTTCTATAGTCATTTATGCCTGAGCTGAATGAGCATAAGAAGTTAGCATAACGATGGTGCTTTATGCCCAGCTAACACTTGTGAATGGCTACACAAGGTACAAACTGGTGGAAGACTGGATCCCTACTGTCTATTCACGCCTAAATTCCAAATACTACACTCAGCCAGCATCCTGCCTGAGCACCCTTTGCCCCTGGATTTCATAAGCCAAAAAAAATTCTTCATAGATGCAGAAACTCCAGATTTAGGCTGGAAATGTGTATCTTTATTAAGAAAACTGCTAGGATATCTTTTGTATCTAATTTTTTTAACTTTTTTGTTTTTTAACCAGGTGATTATAAACAGCACGATCACTCCTAATATGACCTTTACTAAAACATCGCAGAAATTTGGTCAGTGGGCAGACAGCAGAGCAAATACCGTATTTGGTTTGGGCTTTTCCTCTGAGCAGCACCTGACAAAGGTAACTCTAAGAAGGCTATTGTGTTTCTAATGAATTGAGTGGCATATGTACTGTAGCAACCCATCTGGCAGGAATCTCCTATAAATTAGATGCTTCTTCAATTGGTTAACTATAGATTGTCTACTTGCAAGTTGTCTGTGCCTGTTAGCTAAGTTGTGGCTGTGTATGCAGCACACACCCAACGTCCACACATTATAAGTTAATTGTTGGGGCTTTGGGGGGCGGGGGGGGGTCAAAACCTCTTAGCATTTTTTTAAGTTTCCTTGCCCAGTATGGCTGGAAATTTTCGTATTTTCAGGTAGTCTAAGCAGTTTATTGGCATCTTTTATTTATTCCCGACCTTTGTACTTATTTCACATGAAAACTACATTGAAAAGAGTATTAAGGCTATAAAGTGAAGCTCTTAAGCAGTGTGGATCGCCCTTTTGGGCAGGCGTCATAAAGCAGCCCTGCATCCTTGCCATATGCTATTCCAGTCTCCTTTCCCTGCCCAATCTGCTGCTCTGCTTTCTGCTTCCTTCCCTGCTTCCATCCCTGTGCTCTGTGTCCAATTTCTTGTTTTGCTGCTATGCTGCCTGTCCCCTTCCCGATGCGCTGTGCGCCATTTGTCCCACTCATGTATCAGATTGGCCATCCCTGCTTAAAACACCAAAAATACTGGAATTAGGTACCCTGTACATATTTACTTCTCCCCTGGCACAGGTACTGTAATGCAGTCTCTGCTTTATTATTTTAGCAGTGACATCCAACTAATGCGATTATCCTATAAGCCATAGTTGCCTTCAAGTAAAGAATGCAGAGCTTTGGCTGTAGATTAGTAATGGTGTGTATCTGAGTGAATTTGACCTGTTGACCAGTCCTCAACTGCTAAGGGGACCACAGCTATTAGCAGCTACAGGAGCGAGTTCATATTTAGAGCCTTAGTTTGAAAAAGCTTGCGTTTTCAGAGTTGATGGCAGAGGCTTGTAGTCCTAGCTTTCCTAATGTGTGCTTTACACAGATATTACTGTTGCCTGCAAAACAGGGATTGATTACAGCAGGAGGCTTGTAAAATATCCAGCTGCCTCTGATAATGAATAACCAGCAGATTAAAAGTACATACTCTCACTGATTAGACCAATAGCTTGTCAAGTGAACATGAGCAAGAATGTTTGTTCATGCAGTAAAGCAAGGTGCTTCTCCAACGCACAACTGATGTTTTAAGCATGAATGCCAAATTGTTATTGGCACCAAGTTTTATCAGTTAACTAAACACAAAGTCCTTGTACATTCCAGTATGCCTTAATTGCATTCCTTTCTTGTTTTGATCTAAGAGCTACCAGAGTTCAAATTTATAGAGCTGCTTCCAGTTTCAGAAACATCAAAGATGGACTATTCTTGTAAAACAAAAACCTGATGGCTGCAGCTTTACTACTTTTGGTCAGTTGGGTGAATTTTTTTTAATAAATTTATTTTACCAGATGTGTCTTACTGAGTTCATGCAGTTTTCACAACACTGTGTTTTTGCAAATATGTGGAAAATCCAATTAATTTTTGTAAAATCGTTATTGCTATTGAGATAACCAGACCCATGTCATGGTAAGATTCTGATTCTTCTTGAATGTTAACTGACTAATCTACCCAATAAAGCAAAAAAACCCCCAAAACATTTCCATTAAAAAAGGAGGAGATCCTGACAGTGATACTTCAAGAAAGGTATTTTGAAGCAGAAGAGCTTAAAAAGAAATGTGTAGCCAGCCTGCCCCAGCCTGCCTATCTAAACTAATATGGAGCCTCCTTAAGCTATCCTGAGAGAGGAATGCTGTAAGCAAATGGAAGTATAAAAGGATTAAAATAGATTCAGGAGGCAGATAATCTTTCATACATGAGTTTGTACCTGCAGCAGATAAACATCTTACAATATGTAACATCTGTATCCCATATGAGGAGATCATATCTTCTCCAATAATACTTTAAAAGAATTATTACAGTGGTGACTTTAACTGATGCTGTAATGTGAAACCAGATAGATTGCCAACTAAACAAACAACTAAAAAAACCCTCCCATCTAAAACAGCCAATAACTAGAATCAGCAAGTAAAGAACAGGGCATGAGGGATACTTGTAGGTTTCTTCACTATGATGGAAGGACTTACATTTATTTCTGAAACTGGAAAAGCATGTACTAGTATTGGTATAATTTTAACATGAAAATCTGCTATATCGATGCTTGATGATAGAATTGGAATAATTCATATCTCTGGTAATAGAATCCAATTCATGAGGTTAGAGAGGGAAATTGGAGATCTAGCTAAAAGACACAGGCATTGTGAATAAGACTAAAAAAAATTGATAATTCTGTTATAGACAACACAAGATATATTAGGTGGGGGTCCTTTGCTAATATAGAGGAATTATCTCAGCTTATAGTTACAGTAAATGGATATAGGCCAAACCAGGAGACTTAAGGATTGATATATGAACAATTTACTATCTTCTTTTCTTGAGGACACAAGGGTAATTATTGTGAAGCACCATCCTCTTTTATACCATTGTAAGGTGTCCATGCATCTGCTTCCTTTGAGAAATAAATGTATGGTATGCAGAGGCCACATAACATGACCAATAATATCAACTGCTCCAAAAGATTAATTCCGCTTATTAGGTACTGAAGTGTTTGTGAAGAGAGTTGGTTTACTAAAAGATTTAAGGTGGAAATAAAACAGCTGACCATATTCTTAAATCACTTTTGTAACTGTTCTGCAGATGGATCCTTAGATGAATCAAGATAAATACAACAGGATATAAATGTATAATGTGAATAACTGGTAGGGGCTAGGAGTGTATTTTTTAAATTTTATTTCTGGCAGCAGTTGTAAGACTTATTGGGCTGGAGGTATTTTCCAAAATGTTACTTTGTCTTATGCCAGGGGTGGGCAAAATACTGCCCACGGGCTGGATCTGGCTCTCCAACTGATTGGATACAGCCCATGGGCAGGAGTCCGCCAATTGATTTGTAATTAGCCTGCAGTGCTCTGCATGGGAGCGAGCCCTGCCCACTGTTGCCCGGGGCAGCCTGGGCCAGCCCCAGCTTGCATGCACAGCTTCTTGGCAGGGCTGATCCTGGTGCAGCTGCAGCCTCCTGGGCACTGGTCAGCTCCTCCCACCTCAAGCGGCTCCTCTTCCTCTTCCTGCCTCTGCTGCACTGCTCCAGGCAGCAGGTAATGTGGGGCAGCTGTAGGGATGAGTGTTGGGCACCAGATGCCCTGCAGTCGGGCAGTTCCTGTCCTAGTGCGTGAGGCTCCAGCTCCCAGCTGCCTTCCACTCACTTGGCCACCCCCAGGTGGCTGCTCATTGTGCCTGGTGGGTGGAGTGGGTGGAAGGTGGCCTGGAGCTGGAGCTGGGTCCCTGCATGCTGGGGCAGGAGCAACCTGGCTGCGGTTTTCCGCCCCCACCCCAGCCTGGCTGGGCATCTGCTGCCCAGTCCGCATTTCCACAGCTTCCTATGGTACCTGCTGCCTGGAGTGGTGCAACAGGGGCAGGAGGAGGAGGACGAGCCGCTGGAGGAAGGAGAAGCCGAGGAGTACCTGGGTAGCTGCAGTCGCACCAGGAGCAGCCCTTCCAGGAAACTCTGCACACTGGCCTGGGTCTGGGTCCGTCAGTGGGCTCAGGCAAGAACATGGCACAGGATGCCCCTGGTGGGAGCAGGCAGGGCTTAGTCCCATGCAGAGTGCTATGGGGGCAGCCATGGACTGGGTGCAGCGGGGGATACCACACCTTCACTGCACAGCCCAGACAAACTTTGCCCCCCACCCCCCTCTTTTCCTAGGCCCCCTCCCCCCAGCCGCTTCCCGGGACCTGGTGCGCTGGCAACCCCCAACATGCACACATACCTACCTCCCCAACGCTCACCCCACATACACCCCCCCATACCCTCTCACATACACCCCACCCCCGCACACAATATACTTTATTGTATAAATAAGGCTTTATGTTGAGCTATTATATAATCATCTCTATATATACTACTCAAAAAACATAAATCAGGACAAAAATATTTTTTGAAGTAAAATTAAAATATGTTATAGTAGATGTTCGATTTTTATTAAATGATTTGTTTTTTATCTATAATTTGTTAAAATGATATCTTCTAAAAGATTTCGTGTGTGCAGCCCTCGGTAGCTCACCAAAACTCAGTAGGTGGCTCTCCAGGCAAAATAATTGCCCACTCCGTCCTATGCCATCCAATATATTCCTAATACAATTACATTAGGTTCCTTATTAGATTTTCTCATATAATTTGCTTGTGGTTTGGGGGAGTATGGACCATTCAGTTTGATGTGGTAACCCACAGCAGTTCCTGGTGGGTTTTTTCCAAAAAGTTTCATAAGTCCAAGTTTCATTTCCCATTTAGAGACTGCCAGGACATGATTGATCTTAGAGATGGGTTTTTAAAGGGAAGTTAGTATAGTTGCATTCACAAATGTAGTTCTGTACTTGTGTAAAACAACAGTGGGCATGTGAGTGAAGACTCCAGATGTCTAAATTTCAATATATACATGCAGAATGCCTTATATGCAGAGCACTGTGAAGTAACACAGAGCTCTGTGGAGCATGTAAATATATTTCACCACTTGGTGCACCTCCCTTTTTCTAGAAGGGGAGGTAAGTTTTCAAGTGAAAGACATTTTTTTTGAAGTTGGATGATTCCTTTCCAGGTCTTTACTAAATTTGCTTCTAGCAGCAAATACACTGTAGACTTAAGTAAAACCAGATGCTGGACTGCCCACATTTTGCATGCGAGCCAGCTGTCTTAAAGGTGACATAGGGGAATGCTGATAAGAAAGTTGTTTAAAAAAAAAAAGAAGAGATTCTTCCAATCACCTGATTTAAAAACAAAAAAACAAACAAACTGTGGGCTCTGAATAAACCTGTGCTATGATAGGGTCAGCATCCACTGACTTAAGACTTCCATTGAGGAACAAAGAGCCCTGTCCTTGGTTTTCTTCTGTATATCCTGT